AGTTTGAGAATCGCTGATATAAAGTATTTATAGTTCATAAAATCATAACAAATAAAAGTTGTAAAATTTTATCTTGTATTGTAAAACTGTTTAAATATTTAAAAAAAATAATTGTTTTAATTTATAATTCAAATTAATGAAATATCAAGTACCTTTTTTTTCCGTGTTATCGAGAACCAGGGAGAGTACTGCTGTTATCATTGCCCCCCCTCTGGAGCATTGCTTCCCCCCTGTAAATATCAAGTACCTATAAACGATAAACATTAAGTGGACGTATGCGTTGCTCTGTTTTAAAAACGTATATACGTTTAAATAAATTGTTTAAACTAAACAAACATATTATAATAAATTGTTGATGACCATAGTTCCTGTTTTATTAAGGATTATCCATTTGTCCTTTATTTCGGCTTTGTGTCCTGTAAAACTTCTCTCAGGACGCTTTTTGTCCCGTAATATCAATCCTGTCCCATATTAATCCCGTTTTTTGCTTTACTTACCTACTGTTAGTTTATAATTTTTGGAATTAATTTATAAAAAATCGTTTTTTACTATATTTTAATATGAAATAATTGAATTAAATAATTATATTTTTGTAAATTTGTTTTTACCATAATTATTGTTGCATCACATTGTTGTTGGTATCCTGCGTCGTGAGTCGTACGTATAATAATATATTTACGATATAATAAATATACCTGATTGAAAATCAAAAATAATAATAATAAATACTTATTATATAGTTTTCTCCTGTATTTTATTTTTTTTTARTATGGTCACTCATAAAATATGGGTAAACATTTTTTGAAAATAAACTCATTTAATGTATTAATGCATAGTATTGTATTATAAAATATATTAAGTGAATGGATATGCATGTTCACTAAATTCAAGAACACTTGAATACTTGTGCCATGTACCGGGATACTCCTAGTAAACTTATTTTTTCTTCTAAAATTGTATGCCAATAATAATATGAAACCATTTGTATTATATCACATTTTTTTTTWWAAATAACGCATTGTAAATTGTGTGAAATCTGATTTGAGTGTAGTAATACAATACGAAGTCGCAATGTCGATAAAAACAAAGAGTTCTACATTTTCATTGAGTGTATGCACGCTACGTTGAAAACATAAGTTATATTATATAGGTATAGGTACCTACTATGCGTGTATTTGTAACAGTCGCCTACGCTGTAATCATACTGAGCAATACTTAAGTTACGTTTACTTTTCAAGGTTCAAATAGGCGTATGAAGATAACATGGGAGCCATTCTAATAGCATTGGAAAGTATGTAGAGCTCGCCTACCCCCGCCATGGTGGGAGAGATGAAAATGACTTCCATTATGGGTGTTCGGACACTACAAAAACGGATGAATCCAGCAGAATAGCATCAGTCGACCGACCCGATCCAAATTCCAACGACAATATGAAAGGAGTRTTCAACATAGTGTGCGTATTCGGTCTATGTGCCTACGCATTAGCGTCAGAAAATTCTGCTGAAAAATCGGCTGACAAAGCTGCCACTACTGCAGTAACCACCGACGACAGTAAAAGCCAAGGCAAGAGAGGCATTTTCGACACCGGCTATGGATATGCGTCCGGCTCTTTCGGTCACGAGCTGACCGGTCACGACTTCCATCACGAACCACAAGTGCTGTCCAAGACCGTCATCAARGAGGTCGCCCAACCGTACCCGGTCGAGGTCGAGAAACACGTACCGTACCCGGTAAAGGTTGAAGTACCCGTCGACCGCCCATACCCGGTGCACGTGCCCAAGCCTTATCSCGTGCACGTCGAAAAGCCYGTTCCTTACGAAGTCAAAGTGAAGGTACCCCAACCGTACACAGTCTACAAACACGTGCCTTATGAAGTCAAGGTACCCGTCGACAAACCATACACCGTCCACGTGCCTAAACCGTACACCGTTTACGTGGAGAAACGTGTCCCATATGAAGTCACCAAGCACGTACCTTATCCCGTCAAGGTACCCGTCGACAAACCGTACACCGTGCCCGTGCCCGTCGAGAAGCACGTTCCTTATACCGTGGAAAAGCACGTTCCCTACCCGGTCAAAGTTCCAGTGGACCGTCCTTACCCGGTGACAGTGGAGAAGCACGTGCCGTACCCCGTCGACAAACCAGTGCCGTACACTGTCGAGAARGCAGTGCCGTACCCAGTCAAGTTTCCAGTCAAAGTCGAAGTCCCTGTGCCATACGAAGTGCCACACCACCACCATTACGATGAACACTCATACAGTGAACACTCGTACGGCGAGCACGGAAGCCACAGTTATTAACAATAAGGTCTCAAGTAATAACGATGATGATTGGAGTTGATATCTTTTAAAATKTAATTAATACTATAAACCAAATGAATTGATTTAACCAATGTACCTGTTCATGTCTACGCGTGTATGTACGTCGTGTATATTAATTTATTATGATGTATATATTTCGTAGAATAAAAACTATTTTTCTTTACYTTATTTGATTTTTCGTTTTAATTATTTTTTTTTACAGTACAATAATCTTATACTGTACCAAGTAAATTATTTTAGCATTAAAAACTGATTTTCCCATATCTAAGTATGTCCAT